TTTGCGTAATTTTTTTCAGTTTATGCTACAATTTGAGAAGTCAGGAAGGGTGTTTAAAATCCTGTGAGAGATTAACAGAGTCGCATTGCTGTGCAACAATTAGTAAACTTACCCTAAAAATTCTGGAATGGCATGCAGTGGTTTTTTCGTAGCTGCTTCAGTAAACAAGCTGACACATGAAGAATGTTGTAGGAGCGGGTATTGAAACTTCCCCGAAGTCTGATTTACTGAAATATGAACTCGAACTGGTGGGATCGTTTGTTTGTGAGTAACAGTGTACGTTGTTTGACGTTGTAAAGTAGTTTTGTAACTGTTGACTGAATTTACGGGACCGTTATAGTAACATTTGTGCAACAACTATTCGTTGGATAAACCTTATCGAACTGTGCTTTTTCCGCTCCATTATATTTTGGTTATACAATTTAAATTTTCTTCTTGAGGAAGCCTGGTTGCATACTGTTGGCTTCATTTCCACTATTTTCCTATTTCTGTCTGAGGGTATCATTGGCCGTTTAGGGACCCGAGTGATTTGGAGTTGTTATTATGCGCTAACTTCTATTTAACCTTTGAACTTGTGTTTCCTACTGGTTTATTAAAGCATCTAAAGTGGGATGTGCGGTATGTGTACAGAATTTCAGTAAGACTGAATTTGAGAGGTGATATTCTTTTATTTCGATCTGCATCTGCGGAGTTTGAGATATTATTTGACTTTCTCAGTTTTTCCTTGAAATTTTTAGCACTTTGAGCTGCGCTGTCGAATCGGATGTGGCAAAAAATTTTGAAGGAAATGTTTTTGTATGTTACACATAGATTTTATTAAAGTCTGGTAGGTAGCGGTTGGAGTTTGACAGGCCTAGTAGTTTAGGTTAATTTAAGTGATACACACTGTGCTGTCTTATGCAGCCCTTGTATTACAAGACGGTATTGATTAAAGGATCTGTTATTCATTGGGAACTGTTAAGGACGTAGTTTTTTTCAAGATTACTACCTGCATAAACGGTCTTTAGCATGGTCAAAGCACGTTTATGGTGCCATATTTTGAAGGGAAATCTTTTGCAACTTTATTTGTTTAGTGGACAAAATTTCATTACAGAGTAAGAAGTGGGGTTTGTCTTGACGTCCTGTTTCAGTCAGAAGAGAGGAAAGAAGTTAATTGGAACTGCTCTGTCTTTCAGTATCTTCTCAGAAACAAATATATTTAAATATACGAGTAAAATGTTAGAAAAGATTGATATCTTTTTGTGAATATATCAGAGCGAAGCAACGCTGACTTTTTTTATTTTGTTTTGCTCACCATACCTCCGTCTAATTTTTAGCAGGCCATCAAATAGCTTTAAAAGCGAATAGAAAGCTCCCTCTTATACGTCTTAAAGAAAATATCAAATAGTGCTATAGATTTTATGTACAGATGCTTTTTTTTGCTACCAGCAACTCTATACTGATGAAAAAAGAAGAAATGGAAGTTTACTTTACAGGCACGAAAATTATTGGGATTATCTTTGTGATGACATTCAGGAATGTTGAAATAAAAGTCGGAAATCGGTCATACGCTGCACAAATCCTTATCCTGGAGAACTGCGTATTTTTTTGGGTGGGTACACGTTGTGAATTGGATTCCTTTTATTTTGCACGGAATGACAGAGGACTGGCACTACTGGAAACTCTTGATACCGCTCACGCACACTTAGACCGTTTCACAGGCAAAATCAGTGAACTTTTCCCAGAAAAGCAGGTAATTTATTCTGTAAATTTTCTTCCATAATGTGGTTTGCTCTAAAAAGTACTTGCAATAACCTTTAACAAGAAATCGCCTATCTCAAACAAAACTATATTTTAGGTACTTTTCGGCACTGACTTAAAGGTGGACGATTCTACCTTCTGGTTTGAACTGCTACAAAAACTGGTTGAAGAGGTGTCAAATAATCGCTCTTTATACCAATTATCCGCAGAAAATTATTCTGAACTACCTTAAATCCAAGGTTTATTCCTAGTATTTTATTGCCCACATTATTGACAGTTACCAATTTTTTTCGCCACAATTTGCAAACATTTAATGATTTTTATCCCAAAATATCAGAGCTTCTGACTGAAAATAGAAAATCAAACTTTTTTTTTATCTAGCTAAATAAAATTTTTGATCAGTTAAAGGGAATTTGAATGCAGGTTTAAGAATAATGTCGGCTTGTTTAGATGCAGGTGGCGCTGGCAACTTAATATGGTTAATAGTAAAATGCTTCTTAGTGGAACTGCTGTAATTTTTTCCAGTTTCGTTTACGAAGTTCTTAAAAATGTGCAAAAATGGAACTTGGCAACAGTACTAAAGTTTTCCCTGAACAGTTAAGAACTAAAGGAGGTTTTGATGCACTCTAAAACAATGCACTCTAAAAGTGAAATCCACACCTCACGTCTAGTACGCTTCTATTTGTCCACAGACAAATTTCAGAAGCCTAATCAAAAATAGAAATTATTAGTAACTTTCTCTAAATTCTCCCATACTGTTCATTTTTTAATACAACAGCTGTGGATGTGAAGAAGAAATAGCAGTTTTACACCTTTATTAAAAAATTTTGATGGTTCAGATCATTAAAGTATCGCCGGCTTTTAAAGTTACATCCGAAAGACGTAATCTGAGCCTAACATTATAATAGGCAGTATCAGTAAAACGTTGGTCTAGAAAAGATTTTTCAGTCGCAACTGCAGCGCGCTTTCACGCAACACCCATAGCACCTTCAATGATTTGGTTACTATGAGCATCAACTAAATCCTACTCTTCACTACACAAGTAGCCAGAAACACGTGTTCATACATGAGCATTGGAGAATTGACAAAGCTTCTTGGAAATGAGTTTGTTAGGGGTCAGAAGCGGTTTCTTGTGGAGGAGGGTCACTTTTTGAAAGCAAAGAAGGATTTTGGAGGTTTAATTTCTGCGTAACTCTGGAAAATGTCAAGGGGTTCAGTTATCTGTAATAGAAAGTGACTTCTACCCTAAAAAACACTTGTGCTTCATAAGAGAAATTACTTCCCGTCTTGTTATTTGGTTATTCAGAAGACTTTCGTCCATGCATCCATGTGTACGTTTTATCTGATTCCGCACTTCATTTCAATTGGACTTCTTTCTTTAAAATTCGTTACTGAATGCAGCAACTAAACCTTTATTGGCTGGCTATGATTGCTTCAGAACAGTACCAGTCGATCGGAAGCAGAAGTAGTACATATCAATAAATGGCACAAATAAGCCGAAAAAGGAATAGAAAGACTAGTATGCTGAACGAATCAGCGTTAACAAAGACTCAAACCTTTATCCGCGAAAATTAACTTTCACATCAGACTTAAGAAAGAGAGCGAAGGATTGATTTTTGGCTCAGGTGTTTGTAATACGTCTTGGCAATTCGTCAGGACAGAGTTAAGTTCGTGTCAGGAGAACGTTTCTTTAAACGACGAATTCAACGAGCAGTGGATGTTGCTCTAAAGGTGCAGGTCTGCAAGTGTCGAATGAAGTAAGGTTTAGACTGTTTCCGAACCTGCGTTGCATATGGATTGTTAGTCAACGCACTGAAGTACTTCTGCTGTTGTAAATATCAGTTCTTTATCAGATGCATTTTCTTGATAGTTTGGAAATTTCTTACTGCTCTAGTGTCTTGAAATCTAAGGGACATAGAATTGGAAGGTGTGTGTCAAAGATTAGAGATGTTAACAAGCTTGAATGTGCTAAAAATGACTTAGAAGGAGTTTAGGTTGAAATTATCCATCACGCCTCAGGGGGGCGCTAATTTATAGCGTAGATAAGTAGGTTCGTATATTTAAGTCAGCAAAATTAGAGGTTGGCATTTTTTGGTACTCATGCTGATCATTGATTTATTCAAACTTATTTCGAATTTTTCACATAATATTGGTATTATTTATTTTCTATACACACTTTTCTGGAAAGTTTCTAACCTAAATTGTGATTTATTCTTTCTGGTTTTGCATACTCGCTTAGTATGCATAATAATCCGTTTGTCATAGTTTTAGAGAGCCCAGTTATGTACCGTTTACCACTTTGTCGTCTGAACTGGGCGAATACTAACACATTAAGAAGGCTATCATCATCAAAGCAGAAAGTTGAGTTACCGAAGGAAGATTTGAAGAAGAAAGTTCCAAAAGGTAAACTAGATGATCCAGTTTGTGATAAACCTTATGAAGATCCGTACCTCCCAAAACATCCAGGTGGCGTTAACCCAATAACTGGAGAAATTGGTGGGCCCGCTGGGCCAGAACCTACGAGATACGGGGACTGGGAACGGAAGGGTCGCGTTACGGATTTTTAAACGAATTCAGAGTTTTGACAGCTAATAATGTTTTTTTTTATCATCGTTCGTGTCGGTTTGTTTGTTTTATTAGACTTTGTGAAATAGTTTGTGCTTGCTCAAGTATGTTAGAAATTGCCTTGTAATGATTAGTCGAATAAATGAACTTTTACAATCGAGAGGTTTTTTGCTTGGATCAAGATTTACATTCATCCATTTGTCTGGTTATACATAAAATTTTTGAGAAGTACTACAGTTTTGGTAATGATGTATAGTGCCCTTCAGACGTTATATTGTAAGAAATTAACGGGTGAATTTGGAAATTTTTTAATTTTTCTTGTTTTGTTTGGTGTTTAATTTTGTGAATAAATTTAGGCAGTGGATAAGGTTTTCCAACATTTTGGTCACATTCGCTTCTTGTATAACGTATGATGATAGCACATTAGCTACAGCTAAAACAGCCTTTAGCATGCGGTACTGATAAAGCAGTGGAGACGCGAAGCTGTTTTAGATTTTTTAGTCGTTTCAGAAAGCAAACAGAAGTTAGTCTCGAATTCATCAAGCATCAACTGTTCAGCAGTTCTTGTATCTTGAGCAGCATACGAAAGGTAAGTGCAGAAATGTTGTCTACCAAAGTGATGTGATCACGCTTATTTGCTGATGGTTACAGGGTTTGCAAATTGAAGGATTTTTGACTTTGAACTTGTTATTCATCAATACTTCT